TGAGTGAGTGAGTGAGAGTGAGTGAGAGTGAGTGAGTGAGGGAGTGAGTGGGTGAGTGAGTGAGTGAATGAGTGAGTGAGTGAGTGAGTGAGTCAGTGAGTGAGTCAGTGAGAGAGTGAGTGAGTGAGTGAGTGAGTGAGTGAGTGAGTGAGTGAGTGAGTGAGTGAGTGTGAGTGTGAGTGAGAGTGAGAGTGAGAGTGAGAGTGACATTGAGAGAGTGAGAGTGAGAGTGAGTGCGTGTGTGTGAGTGAGTGAGTGAGTGAGTGAGTGAGTGAGTGAGAGTGAGTGAGTGAGTGAGTGAGAGTGAGTGAGAGTGAGTGTGAGTGAGTGAGAGTGAGTGTGAGTGAGTGAGAGTGAGTGTGAGTGAGTGAGAGTGAGTGTGAGTGTGAGTGTGAGTGTGAGTGAGTGAGAGTGAGTGTGAACGCGCGCGTGCGTGAGTGTGAACGCGCGCGTGCGTGCGTGTGAACGCGTGTGAACGCGTGCGTGCGTGCGTGCGTGCGTGCGTGCGTGCGTGGCGTGCGTGCGTGCGTGGCGTGGGGTGGGTGGGGTGGGTGGGTGGGTGTTGTGTGTGTGTGAGTGAGTGAGTGAGTGAGTGAGTGTGAGTGAGTGAGTGAGAGTGAGTGGTGGAGGGAGGGAGGGAGGACGGGAAGGAAGGAAGGAGGACGAGGAGGAGGAGGAGCGGATACAGAACTAAAAACAAAAACCCCACACGTCAATGTGGGGAATGATGCACTGATCATTTCTTCTGTTGAAGACTCTTGAAAGCCTTGAGAAGACGACTCCTATACTCTCAGAGAAATTAGAATGTCCTCCAGCATGGCACAGGGATCAAAGCCCAGATTTTCACCACCTTTCACTCCTCTCAGAAATGCCTACGTGCCTCTTGGACCAGCATGTCCACTGCTGACTGAGCTCTAACTCCGGCTGCACAATATGCAACGATAAAGGTGTCCTTGACAAAGAAACACTAGACACCTGTCACCTGCTGGAACCAGCATTTGCTTACTTTGCTTCATTTGCTTTGCCCTTACATTGGTTGTCAACTAAAGCTACACCGTAGTCCTTGCTGACTGCCAAGTCGAGAATCTCCTGAAAGTACCAGTCTGAAATAGTCTGAAGGTGTTACCCTCTGGTAAACTAACATAGCTATGGAAAATCACTGGTTTTAATGGGTAATTCACTATAAATGTGGTATTTTTAATAGCTATGTTAAATTACCAGAGGGTAGTCCATTTTCACTTGTCCATACATCTTCTGTGCATTTCCGTCCTGTCTCCAATTCGGCGGGTTCCTGAGACAATGGGATCAAAGGGCTCACCACTGATCGCTTCACGACCGGTTCGGTGGTTCTCTTATTCAATTATTACAGTACTAGCAAAGCAATTATGTGGTGACCCAGACTAACTTACATGTTATATAAATTATATATATATTATATATTAATAATTGTTAATATAAGTATACAACGTTCGTATAGCAACCCGAACATTGATGAAAGCTGGAAGCCTGGAATTATGACGCGGGGTAAATATGGGTAAAATTCATCTGTAAAAATCCAAGAAAGACTTGTCTATCTTTTTGGGCATCCGTACAGCCCATAGTACGTACAGTATGTGTGTAAGATAGATAAATGGATGGATGGATGCATGGATGGACGGAGGGAGGGTGGGATGGACAAAGATTGATATGCAACTTCAAAGACTCTGCCATCCTGCAACAGCAAAATATGCGACATTTCTCCCAGTGCGTGTCCATGCATTTCCATCCCCTGAGTGCGGTTTCATGCATGTCATGGTTTTGAAAACACTGGAAAGGCAAGCGAACAAAAAAAATCGGCTCAACTCCAACATCATGTAGATCGCAGTGTGAACTTTGTGCCAGGGCCAGGGTTAGACGGTTAGATTTGATACAGTACTGATACAGTCGATCCAAGCCTCTGGATCTGAAGGCGTGTGGCGCAGCTCACATGTCCGGCATCCCATTCGTATTTCTCCCGGACGTCAATCACGACTCCACAGCGATCTAAGGACCCCATGGTTCAAGACTTCTGAGCCGAATCGATAGAGGTCAAAGCGTTCAAGTCTTCCTGAATATTTGAGAATCTGAGGCATTTCAGTTTGCTCACACAGTCCTTAAAGTCCTTCACCAGATTGCTGCCAGTTTCGAAAGTACTTCGGCATTTGACATCCTGAATCACAAAGTGCTTTGAGCATGGCTCTCCATGTTGATAATGGATTACAGGATCAATAGAAAAGCAAGCCTGCAAGGTCCCGCTAGCTTGCACAGAATATCAAAGCGTACAAAACCCAATACAGTATCAACTTTTGTGGGTCAAGGCAGTTACTCAATCTCAGCCCCATAAGTGAGTTTGTGCTTTGGGCTCGCGCTGACTTAGAGACGACTTGAAAACTCCAAGCCTCAGAAACACATTGAGGGAATAGAATCCAACGTCAGCCTTTTGGGCTCCTAGATTCCAGGCCGATGTCTCTTTCCTTCTTTACAGACCTTTGAAGTAGACCTCATGTTTCCTATGCCTGGAAGCTTGTTGCTTATCGGCTTATCAGGCTTACCATGTCAAGCTTGGTGATGGTCAGCCATTTCCGGGGAGGTGATTGAGCCTTCATCAAAAGGGCACATTACTAGCACCCAAGGCCCAGGTAGATCCAGGTAGAATGCGCAAAGGGGCTGTTCCCTTTCAGCGTTCCGTCTCTTGGTACTCTGTGGCACTCTGTGATGCTTCAGTCGCAGACCTCTTTCCAGGGCCCATCTGGACTCCTGACAAAACGCCACGAGGTCGAGCACGAGAGAAAAACAAGAACAAGGTACTTGGATATGGGCTGATGTAACATGATGTAACTAGCACATCCAGTCAAATGATGTCAAATGAGCACGGGACTCATTGGAGTATTGCAATTTGCAGAAGCCTCATGAGTATCGCTTCAAGTTATCTGAAAAAATCCCGAATGGCATCCAAGATTTCAATCCCCTTTACATGATTTTACATGTGTGCTTGAGCGCTCGTCATTGTGTAGCCGCGTGTTTGTGTGCATCTATGGATGTGTTGGCGGATGAGTACTCTGTGTTTCTTTCTGCTTTCTCTCTCTCTCTCTCTCTGTCTCTCTCTCTCTCTCTCTCTTTCGTTTCTTGTGCGTGTACAGTGTACAGTACTCCTTTTTCATTTGATGTTTGCTTTCAACTTGTGCTTTCAAGTAGCAAAAAACAAGCAATGCAATGTCCTCTGCGGATGTCTGTAGTCTCTACAAACAAATGTCATGCGGAAATCGCGCTGAGCTGCAGGCGCGGTCCAGCATCATTGCCAGGAAGGTTCAATTCCAATGCATGCAACCTCTTTGGCTCCTTCACTACAACGAAGGCAATGTGATTTGCTACAGATCTTTTGCCAAATGACTATGCTGTCAACTTGAGAGGAAACAGCCCTTTACTGTCTCTGTCTATCTCTGTCTGTCTGTCCGTCTGTCCGTCTGTCTCTCTCTCTCCCTCTCTGTGTCTCTCGCTCCTTGTTTGCAAGTTGAATAATCACGAACTGGTTCTCAACCACTCCGTTGGCAGACCTGCATTTGACAAGGCCAACAAACGGGCACATGCCACATTGAAATTTGAAACATCGCAGCACGGCACGGCTGAGCTGAGGCCATAGCTCCCACCAACCACTCTGCCTTGGAGGCGTTCCAAGTCGTGCCCAACACATTTCAACAGTCTGCTGAATGTGAAATCATGGAACCTGGAGTAGAACCTGTAGAACCTGGGGTGGGAAACCTCTGGAACACTTGGAATCTCATACATTCAAACTCGGTACCAGAGAAAAGGAATTGCATCTTGCGATCTACACAGTGTGTTGAGGCGCAGGCTTTTCCAGGTCCGCTGCAGGGCCTGAAAAACTGCCAATGCGATCCCGTGCATTCAAAACAGAATGTCATTCTGAACTCTGGGAGGAATAGTAGAGCCTCTTGGAAAATGCCTTTAGCTGGTCACTCTCGACAACTTGAGGAACCCAATGTAGATAAAGGATGATAAAGGCGAGTCACTTGCCAAAAAAGAACTCTCTGCATCGAGATAGTGGTTTTTGCGAATGCCGGCCTTAATTCCTGAAAGGAGCTCACCTATGAAAATCTATGAAACCTATCCTATCAAGTGCTACTTTCCCTATGCAAACTTGGAGCCAACTTCAAGTCCTGGCGTCGTCTCTTGGCTGGTCTGAGCCACAAGCTTTCTTGCCGCTGAGTAGACCACTTTACAACCTCGAGACAGTATCTGCATTACCTCTGTCCGACACTGTCCACCTTTTGTAAACCGCCGGGCATCCAAGGACCTAGCTTGAAAATTGAGTTCCACCTCCTTCGTCTCAACTTCCACCAAGGCCTGATCCATGGCGCGAGATTCAAAACCTTCTCCTGCACTGAAGGATCACGGAGAATTCAGATATTTCACGGTCCGCAATGCGCCGCAAATCCTAGAGTAGGCTTGGTCTTGATATGCTTACACACTTTACATGTTTGATCATGTTTGCATGTTTTATCCCGTTCTGCAGACATGCAAACATCCACTGTGGGCTATCATCCTAAAATGTCATGCCTGCAAATGGTGTCCTCTGCTGGCAAGGGCTTCTGGCTCACTGGGTCTCCCTTATCTCCCTTGATATTATGGGAAAAGGTAGAAACCTTGCCTTGCGAACTATGACATGAAGCTATCACACTAGCGCAGACTGCACCTGAAGCGTGTGCATGCGGTCAGGTTGAGTCCTGCACCCCGTAACGTGGTAGGCTTTACCAAAACCTTCGGTGAAACGGTACTGTGGTTGAGAAAACAATTGGCAGTGTGTCAAAACCTTGTACCCCTGGTGAACATCAAAATAGCTGGTAAATGGATGTTCATCCCCCTAAAAATGGTATTAATAGGTATTGATCCATACCCAATTGACCATCCGATTATGCCTTTTAATGTCGTGCCATCTCGTGTCATTTGTCTGGCTCTTTTGCTATCCCCTGTTTAGCGTCTACTTCTACTCTCCTGTCAACATGCGCTTATTTGGCAAACGGGTTTATCTGACTTAGCAAGAATCCAGTATGACCCCTTCCGTATGTCCGGTTTGTAGGGTGCACTTGCCTGAGCACTATGAGTTCAGAGAGTAGACATCAGAATTCCATTTCCCACGATCTGATTGCCCCACCTACCACACCTCCAGTAAAGATGATTTGATTTCAGTCGCATGGCCAAACCACTAGACACACAAAGAGTCGACAATGAGCCCCTCCTGTCAGGCAGTCTTCCTGTGCCAAGACAGGACAGAATGCAAGATGCCCCTCGGGGATGAAACGAGAGACGCAAAAAGAACAGCTCTACGACTCAACGAAACTCTTACATCCAGCCTGTAGCCACATCCTCAGTTTGGAATCAAATATTTAATTCGGGCACGAACATATGAAAAACTTGGGGTGCATGTCTAGCTCCGAAATACATATACAAACCTATCTATCCATCGATATTCTTATATTACGCATGTATGTACATATTGTGTATTGGTGTATACCATTATCTACAATGCGTAAATATAGTGTGCAAAGCTTGCTTGACTCTATCGCATGCATGTCGATAGATGCATATATATATATATATATGCAGATATAGACGGACGGACGGACGGACAGACAGACAGACAGTCAGGTAGTAGATAGATAGATAGATACAGATAGATATAGATAGATACTGTATAGATAGATATAGATAGATATAGATAGATATAGATAGATATAGATAGAAATAGGCAGATATAGGTAGACGTAGGTAGATATAGGCATGTATAGATAGATATAGATAGATATAGATAGATATAGATAGATATAGATAGATATAGATAGATATAGATAGATATATATAGATATAGATAGATATAGATAGATATAGATGGATATAGATAGGTATAGATATATAGTTGTATATATCTAGGTATATACATATATATATATATTACATAGATATAATATATATATATATAAGATATAGATAGATGCATGCATATACTTATACGTATATATACATTATAATTTTATATATTATATGTGTGTACGGTGGGTGGAAGAAATTGTGCACCACTTTGGATGTTTGAAACCCTATTAAAAAAAAAAAAAACGGATAAACCACCTATTATAATAACTGGTGCAGGATTTCTTCCATCCACAGTATGTCACATATACATGTATATACAGAGATGCGACCATGTCTCTGAAGCTGACCTTCCTGTGAATGTCATACAAGTATTTGCTACATGTAGAGCGTTGTAGGCAGACTCGCGACAATTTTCAGGACATGAGACAATTTTCATCATACACCACCCACAACTCCAACTGCCTCTTTACACACAGACACACAAAAAAAAACGCGTTATGACCAAGTTTCATCGCCATCCTCATCAGCATCCTGCACAGGACTGCAATAATTGCAGACAAGAGGAAACCGACGGTTTGTAGTGATAGACATGCCCGATCATACAAGTACATAGCATTTCCTGAGTTTCTCAAGAGATTCCAGTCATTGAAGCTCCTCCACGTCAGAATCAGTCTCACCTCGATTCCAAAGCAAGAGACCAGAAAATCTATACCCAAACATCAAAAAGAGACAGGGGCAAGAGATCGCAAAACTATGAACATGAAGCATGATCAAGCTAATTGTCTGCTACAGCACTGAGCAGCAAACGCATGCTGACATGTCTGCGGTCGTTCGCACTGCCCCTGCCGAGCTGTCGAGTGAACATTGGGAGTCAAACTGGAGCTGGAGAGATCACTTGATGCAACCGGAGCTCGTCAGGCAAACAACTTGGTATCAGAATCAACAGGAGGTACTGCATTGGGACTCACAGCAAAGGACCTAATATATTTAATGTTGAAAAAGATGATAAATCATGATAAATGATGAAAATTGCAAAAATGAATTGTTTGGGAGCTTCTCCGCTCTACAGTGTCGGGGCAGAGAGCACGACTCAAGGCTTCTACTACTGCAGAAACCCTCTTCACTCCGAACCTCCGGCTGGAATGGGCCTTGCATTGCAACTAACTGATGACAACGGCCAAGTAACGAAGTATCCATGTAGACTGACAGTCCTTACACCATGGTAGCCTCCCATGCATGCTTTTGGGTCTTCCGTCTACCCTTTGTGAACTTGGACCTTCCCTTCTGACAATCAAATGTTTTTGGTACGTCAAAAGGAGTGGGGCACATGAGCAACTGCAGCTGTGCCATGTGTGTTGCCAGAATACCAGGCCTGCCCATGCCTGACACAGGGTCATTTGCCGAACAGAAACATAGGCTGTGGCTCACCTCCAGCTAAAAAAAGATCCCTTTTGATGACAATACCATCAGCAGACATGGCCCAAGGCCGAAGGTATCTTTTTGTTATCTGATTCTGGAACGGGACTCAACTTTGCCCAAATGCCCAAATGCCCAGCTGCATCATAAATTTCACCCCGCTGTTCCTTTTTTTGTGCAATGCTTCAGGCCTCTTCGCTGCAGACTTGCGGATCTGCCAGATTCGACAAGAAATACACAATACGACGCTGTTCGTGACGCTGGCACCGTGGCATGACAAATCACCATATTGAGTAAAGATGAGTAAAGGATGTACCTTGTGTGTACCTGAATTTATCTCAACACCTTGAACAGGCTTTACTGACTGAGGAAAAAATAAACTCTGACCATCAAATGTGGGTCTGTGCCTGCCCATGATGCGATGACCTTGAACAAACAATGCACAACAGCGTATATCAAATCAACCCCAACCCCGATCGCTGCCAAAATAACGTGGAAGACTCTACAGGTACCAGATATACCACCATTGAACAACCCTGAGGCTGCAACTCTTGCTGAACCTGATCACATGCAACGAACAAGCAGCTGCTGCAACAGACTTCTAAGTCTTCTTAGAAAACAGATGAAAACAGATGAAAACAGATGAAAACAGATGAAAACAGATGAAAACAGATGAAAACAGATGAAAACAGATGAAAACAGAATGTGTTCATTGAGCTTTCATTGAGTTTTCATTGACTTTTCATTGACTTTTCATTGAGTTTTCATGTCAACGGGATTTCTAGGGCATGGGCGGAGTTTCGCCGCGATGAGGCTGCGGATCCTGACCTAAGACTCATTCGGAGGGAAGAAATTGGCCTAGAAAATGACGAAGAAATTGGCCCATTTTTAATGGGAAAATCCACTATTTCTATGGTCATTTTCAATAGCAAACTGTTATAATATCAACACTTTAACAAGCTTTAATGATTTTTAATGATAGAGATGAAGATTTGTTGATTTCCATCTTCTACTGATTCTACTGTCCTACTAAAGCAACTTGGATGGCAACTTGTTGCAATGCTTGGTTTGCTCCACTGTTTGATTTTTCCAGTCTACATCTGGGAGATTTGCAAGCAGGGGGTTAATGCGTCTAGGTCTAGGTCATCCGAATGGAATACAATGAGCAATCAAAGCATTTGCTGCAGATTGTTCTGCTGATTGAATGAATGAAAGTGTGTGAATCATGTTAGACTGTAATCTTGCATTGAACCTTTCATTTGCATGCCCCAGACCTGTTGGAAGCTCCTGAGGCACTCGCTCAAAAGGTGCCCAGAACTCTTCTAGGGACATCCGTCGTAAAGAGATACGTTCCCTCGCACGAGCCTGAAATATCTGAAATGACACAAGATCAAAGTCTCCAATCTGTTTGCCATTGGGCCATTGGAGTTTGAATCGCTGAGACCAATGCTCGCCCATTTCGGGCTTCCTCTTTACTACCTCTGGACCCGCGAACCTCAACTCTGCGTCACGAAGTAGAGGACCCACTCGTAGTACAGCCGAAACATGTCAAAACATCAAGAACAACTTGAAGTATTGAAGTCTCACTGTACAATCCATGCTTGCTTGCAACAGGTCAGAATCCAACAACGTGCAGAGTGAATTGCTCAGCAGGACAAACTGCTCACAAGTCAAATCGTTCCTTTTGAGTTCGCAGCTCGAGATGATCTCGTCCTTGGTTGGCATAGTTTTTTTTCAAAGCCATCAGCATTAACCAGCAGTCAGCATCAGGTCAATCAAACTACTACTCGATCAAAGCAGCGAACGGTACAGTTGGCGATGCAGCCACAACAGGCTCTGCACCTTGGTAAAGCTCTTCGATCTACAAATTCTGCGCGCGAGAACTTGCTTCGCTCACAGACCTGTTTTCTGAAAGCTTACATATATATATATATATTATATGTATATATTATATATCTATATATGTATTATATATACTTATAATATATATATATAATTGTCCCTTCATCGACACATCGTGAGGCCCCTCAAGCATCCTTCGTGCGCCACAAACTCGTCTTCTCGGGTCGTAAGGCCAGGGCTCTGAACGCTCTGAATCCCTTGCGGCCTCCCAGCAACATGCATCATCTTCTGATACTAATAATGCTAATAGGAATGTATAGAAATACATGAAATATACATTGCTATACATATATATATATATATATTGAACTATCAAGAATTTCCGGAAGTGGTTCATTTCAGGACACTCAAACAAAACAGCCATGGAATGTTCATATCTTGATGCATCCTACAAAGTGTAGTAAACTCATTGACCCCTTATGACATCTACTGATCCTTTCCATTTCCCTCGACCCTTTCAATCCTTTGAGCATCCTACATCTACCATCCGGGTGATCGCCTTTCTGGAAGGCGCCAAGCCCGACTCCGGAGGCGCTGCCTCCAATGGCCTGCGACTCTACACTACAAATCTCACCGTAGCCAGTGAAAAAACGTGAAAGTCAAAGAGCCTTGCAGAGTGTGAGGGCTCAATTCAGCTGCCTTGGTGCATTATGTTGACAGATGTTGACAGGTCATGGCACATGCAGCATATGCATGAAGTTGCATGAACGTTGAAGAAGCGAAACTGTCTAAGGCACCTCTGGAACAGTTTCTGGCGGTGATTGACTCCTAGCCACAAGACAAATCCTACCCGGGTGCAAGTTGCAAAAATAGCAACACTGGCTCCTGCCATGGTCTTTCAACTGGCCTGCACGAGGAGAGCATGACTTGGACAGAAACCATTACAAACAAATACCAGGTACATTATATAATATGTATAATATGTAATTGCATGTATTTGTGTTGTGATGCCTGGCACCATGAAGGACAATGCTTACACAGAACACGGTCTTCAGAGCCTACGCCTTGCATTTCATCTTGAGGATCTTCCATGATTGGACTGACCACCTCGGTAAGCCATATGAAGCCGATCACATGACCGAAAAGGATACCGAAAAGGAGCCTTCGAACACCCGCTTGGCCCCTGACACATGCTTGGCGTTCTTTTATTGATGGTATTAACTGAGCTGGCGCAGGTTGATCAGGTTGGCAAAGGCTTGCAAAGTCACTGCTTCCAGCCAAGGCGCTGATTCTCGCAAGAAAATACAAGGTCTCCAGATCTCCTGTTGCTTCGGATTGCTGAGGAGCAGGCAGGATGTTGCCTTCGATTCAAGCCACGGCACGCTTTTAGCCCTGAGAGAAGCGGAATTGAGGGAGTCGAAAGGGACACAAGGCCAGCAATGTTTGGGAAGCGAAGAGAGGTTGTCAGGTTGTCCATCGATGGCAAAACCAGGTCAGGTGCGTTGAAGAATCTCCTTGTTCACTAGCTGAAGGGTTTGTTTCCTCAGTGCGGGGGTGGTCTCCAATTTCACTCCCTTGCTTTGTTAAAGCCCAGCAAGAGCATCCAAGAGCCAAGTGCAGGGCATCTCTGGCTTTACCCCCTTGCCTTTGTTGGCCTTGGAAGAAATGCAAAGTGTACAAGTCTTGGTGCGAGGAGAATGCGCGATGCTCACTGCACTCTCAACAAAGATCACCACTTTGAATGCACCGTGCGGCATTTTCGCCCAAGGCAGTTGTGGTCGCGTCATGTCTCTTCAGGTGTCCGTCAATCCGACAAACAAAAGCTGACAGATGGGGTGGTGGGGCCTACGATTTAGCCACAAATGGCCTTTGGCCCTGTTGGTGTCACAGCACCAGCTCAGATTACTGAGTGACTAATCTTTCTACAGGACAAAAGAATACAAAAGACTGCAAAACCATGGCTCACTGTCCCAGGCATTTGGCCGACCGCCAAGAATTGCAGTGTTGCTGTCTAAACGCGCAATTTGTTGAAGATCCCAAAAGCTGGAACAACGTGTCACTATCATCCCGATAGCTTGCAGTACAAAATAGATGTGCCTACAACATCCTACAACCAACACATCGGAGAGCCAAAGCAAGCTGACTGATTGTTGATTCAAAGCATACTCGAGACTCGAGGCGCAGAAGCAGAGGGGAAGGGCTCCCAAGAGTCCTGCATCGGAATGACACAAGCAGTCGCAAGACCAAAAATTCTGATGTCACGAAGACATCAGGAGACTAGATGAGATAGGATAACAAATGAGACAAGATACCGAACAGTTTGTGCTTTACGTAGTTGATGACAATAGAATGATCGGTATTACAATCAATCTGGGCAAATTATAATATTTCACTAACCTGAATTGTTGGGCCATTTGGGGATGATTCCTTAACTATGATTCCAGTGAGGGAGAACAGTGAGGTCGTTATAATTTACCCAGAATGTCAATTTGATCTGCCCTTGAGAGCCTAAAGGCTCTCCGATCGATGTCAACTCAGCTGCTGGACTCGGACCTTGATCTCCTGAGGCAGCTATTATGGGACATGATAGTAAGTCATGAGGATATAGGTCGTCTATAAATGTCAATAAATGTCTATAACATTCTATAACATTCTATAAAATGTTGTATCTATGACGATATAAGCGGGCATAAGACTTCTCATGGTCTCCTGCACGTCCCAACCCTGAAGAGAAAGGGTCAGAACTTAGATGGGAGAGAATAAGTGATTGGTAGTTTGAAAGGTAAAGCTCGTTTGCTGTTTGCGCTGCAGCCGTCTTGGTGATCTGGGTAGCACCACATGGCAGCTGGGTCCAGCTTCTCAGAAACATCGATTGTCTTATCATTCAACATATGAGTCATATGAGAGACAACAAACGCGAGGTCCACGAGCACAACCGAAAATGAGAAGTTCAAGCTCCTTTTTCCGTGAAAGTGAAACCAAATGTAATAAATTGCAAAGAGTGCATACAGCACATATATACATTGCCTCAAAGTGTCTCCCCGAAAAAAAGGGCATTGCCTCGAAGTGAAGCCGCTGAAATTGGCAGCGGACTCAACGCTTTGTGAGACATTTCAACCATGGTCCCAACACATCCAAACGGTAATTTTTCATTTAGGCTTTCAACAAACATCGCTATATGATGCTATATATTGGCCATATCCTGGAAAATGCAAAAACATTTGAAGGGGCAACGTCTCATGTCTAGAAAATACACCATTGATGCAAAGATATGCAAAGCAGCATTGTGTGTGTGTGCGCCATCACTTTGAAAATCAGAATCGACGCAGGCTTTCGTTGAGGGCGGCATTTTCAGTCCAGCTCGGGATTCCTTTCAAGGATTGCCAGGATTGCTGTTCAGCAAAAGTTCCAGATACTCCCTTTGACTTTCCCGAACCTTTCGAAGGACAGCCAAGCTTCTGGCCAGTGATGCAATGTCTGACTCAAGCGACTGCACAGCCTGTGGAAGCTCCAAGTCGCCAGTTGCCGAAGCTGATACTGAAAGTTCCAAAGTATCACCGCCGACTGAGTTGGATCTTGCTCGTTGCGGGAGTGGAGGTGCAAGAAATGATGAGTTGGGACTGCCTTCGCTCATGAAATCTTCTGAGAGCTCACTGGCACTAGAACCTGCAACACCAGAAGCCCCTTTGGGTTCAACTTTGGTGACAGGAGCACTCTGGCTTGACCCTTCAAGCACTTCAAGCCCCTCAAGCCCATCTTCCTCCTCGATCTCCTCAAGGCTGGCTTCACATTTCTTCTCCGCTTCAGGCTTTGGGCCTCCCAAGCTGACTCCACCTAAGCCAACTCCAGCTAGGCCAACTCCCGGGGAAGCTCCGACCTTCACCATACCCTCTGGAGGCGGGTTCTTCAATTGAGCGTAGCCATCTGTCAGGTTGGGAGATCGCTTGTCTGCAGATGCGGACTCAGACACCGAAAGAGAAGCGGATGCTGAAAACGACTCCTCTGCAGAAGCGGAAACTGACGAATCTGGCTCTGGCCCTAGGTTTTTGCCGTTGGTATCGGCTTCCTTCTTGGTCGAAACAGCTGAGGAAGTATCTTTGCTCCCTTTTGTAGTGTCGATCGGACTTGTTGCAGAGTCAGCAGAAGCCTTTGTCTCAGCACCTGATGCTGATGATGCTGACTTGGAGGTCCTCACAATAGAAGCAGCTACGTTTTCCTTTCGCTTCTCTTCCAGCAACTGGCGATAACGCTCATCTGCCGGATGATCCCAAATGCTTTCGCCTGTCTCAAAATTAAAGTAAAACACATCATCACCATTTTCGGTGCAGGCTTTCCAGGGTGCTGGCACTGGCGCCACCACACCCTCCCGTGCAATCCACAACAAATCTTGTTCCTTCTCAAGGTCAATTCCCAAGTATTCTGCAAACTCTAGAACCTCGTCTTCGGTAGGCACTCTATCATCGTCTGTATCAACAAATTTGATGCCTTTAGCCAGTTCGACTGCACCAGTACTTTGGCTTGACTCTCCTTCAAGGCCATTGTCCGCCTCAATTTCTGGAAGACTCGCCTGATCTTTCTCAGACACCTCAGACAACTCCTTCTTCTGGGCTTCAGGCAATACTTCTAGCTTTTTTCTTTCCGGCGGCTCCTTCTTTCGAAGAGCTCCGGAGGCTTCTCCCTCCAGGCGATCTCCACCCAAGCCAACACCAGCCAAACCCTCCCGGTCGGTTGAAGGAATGTCTGCATTCTCCTTGGCCTCCGATGAATCTGCAGAAGACAAAGACGGCCTTGTCTCTTTCTTCAATATACCTTGAACTGCTTTACTGTCAGATCGCTGTCTACCTGTACTTGCGGACTCAGACACCGAAAGAGAAGCGGATGCTGAAAACGACTCCTCTGCAGAAGCGGAAACTGACGAATCTGGCTCTGGCCCTAGGTTTTTGCCGTTGGTATCGGCTTCCTTCTTGGTCGAAACAGCTGAGGAAGTATCTTTGCTCCCTTTTGTAGTGTCGATCGGACTTGTTGCAGAGTCAGCAGAAGCCTTTGTCTCAGCACCTGATGCTGATGATGCTGACTTGGAGGTCCTCACAATAGAAGCAGCTACGTTTTCCTTTCGCTTCTCTTCCAGCAACTGGCGATAACGCTCATCTGCCGGATGATCCCAAATGCTTTCGCCTGTCTCAAAATTAAAGTAAAACACATCATCACCATTTTCGGTGCAGGCTTTCCAGGGTGCTGGCACTGGCGCCACCACACCCTCCCGTGCAATCCACAACAAATCTTGTTCCTTCTCAAGGTCAATTCCCAAGTATTCTGCAAACTCTAGAACCTCGTCTTCGGTAGGCACTCTATCATCGTCTTGGTCCAAGACTGTAACTCCAGGACGATCAGATTTGGATCGTTCCGAATCTTCTGAATCACTGACATCTACAGCCATGCTTGACAAAGCCCTTCAGCCAAGAGACGCGAATAATGCGAATATGGCATGGATCAGCAACACAGTGACACTCTGCGACTTTTGATGTTTGTCAGTTTTCTTCCAGTCTCGAAACAATTTCAGGCAGGGTCCACTCAGTTCACAATGTTTGCTTCATGCGCTAGTGCTGGTACAACTTTCTGTATCCGCAACTGTCCAGTCACAAATTGCTCACCTCTAGATGCCACACCAGAACCCAACAAGTCCCAACAAGTCACACAACGCAAAGCAACAAGTGTCAACAGTCGTAACCAGTGCCTGTCCTCTGGCTGCAGGAGCATCAAGCTGATTGCAGATTTCGAGTATGTATCCTCCTGCATCACCATGTCGCCATCTGGTAAGACCTATCGAGGGCTGGCGCAGTTGCCGCTGGTAATTACTCCACACTTCCCATCAGGCCTGGAACTGCGTGAGCAACCTCACAGCAGAAGCGGTTCAGAGCATTCCGAGAACGTTCTCAAAGTCCACAGCCAGCAATCAGCAACAGTACACGAGGAGTGCTTGTGACATGCATGTGCTGCATGTGAATGTGTTGGAATGTGTTGGAATGTGTTGGATGTAGTTCAAAGCAGGAGAGAAGCTTCAGTAGGAGCGTGCGCTGCTCCAGCAGAGAAAACTTGTCTCCCAAGCACCGGCGAGGTCCTCAAGAGGCATCCGTGCAGAACATTTCAACCAACTGAGGCAAGCTGACAGCGGCAAAATTGTCTATCGATATAGTCGATATAACATCTTTTAGATGTTAAATTAGTTTAACATGTTCTAACTTACCGCGTGAATACTCAAAGCTGATTGAGTTCCTGTCCTGCGGAGAATGGGAGGTAGTTAAAGACTCTTGGCTGCCTGGGACATCGCATGCACCAATAAGGGTAAGATCACAGGTTGCCAAACATTCTTCCAAGGAGCTTATCTTGCAGGAACCGGTCTGGATTGAAGTCCAATGGGTTCTCCCAGACCTAGCACTTCATGGCAACCCAAAATCTGGCCCTAAAGTACAAAATGAGATGCATCGGATTCCGGAATGATGAGCACAAGTGCGAGTGGCAGACCTCCGGATGTCTGTTGATAGCTCCGATGTGCAGGGAGATACCTGCAAAGTGCTTTTGAGGAATCCATATTCAGGCCAAGAAAGCCAACCACTGCGCAGGAGAAAAGGTATTTTGATTGGTTTCTGAACTTGTGCGGCTTGGAGTCGTTTCATGTCGTTTTCCATAAAACTTCGTCGAAATTGACCCGTTTGTGTCGAACATGTCCAAGGTACCTGTCCCTTTGGGAATAGCATATCCGTCCAGCTCTGTATCCACTGCTGCTTCCCGAGAGATCAGATTGTAGACTGGAGGCCTTAAACGGAGGCCTCAGGTTGCACTCCAAAACTCCGTCAAACTGCATGGTGCGACTATGTATGCTGCTACTGCTACGATGCATACGTGCATAAATGACATTGCATGACATTCCATGACAGTGCAGCCCGGTTCTGTACATCGGATAGCTTCACGTTGCATTACTACCACCTTACCTCACATTACTTTGCATACCTTTGCATATACTACATAGAAATTGTATGAAAATTGTCACTTGGGGGCCTGTGTCAGGTACAAACAGCACATCCCCAATTCGAAGATCAGTGCAATCGATGGGATTTACTGCCGGATGCATGTCTCTGGACTTGTTCTCGCACCAGCCCGCACCTTTACTGCAGCAGTCTCTTCAAACATGGCTCTTCTTTGACGAGTTGCTTTCGCTGATCACTGCATTGATGTATGGAACTCTCTCAAGATCATCTGCATCTGGATCAGTCTTGCCCTCCAGAACATCGAAGGCCTCAAACATCTGCAGGTTTCCAAAGCACTGACCCATATGGATCCGATTAAACTTAATTTCTCGATGTACCTTTGTCTAATATCCTTGTAGTATCTTGTAGTGATCTTTGCTGTTGAGTGAGAGTTTCTCTGGGTTCCCAAAAAGTCATCGGGACACAAGCCAGCAGTTCAACAAGTGGCTGCATCGACCCAGGACATGCATCATCACAAGGCTCCGCCTCGCGGCGTGCTTTTTCCTGTACTTCAGGATGCTTTGCAAGAAAGTGCATGGTCCATGCCAATGAAACTGCCGTGGTATCCTGAGAGATGCAGCAGCCATGAAAGGCCCGTGGAAGCTTCAGTGCTGTGAGGTGTTGTGCTGAATGGTGTTTGCACTGGTAATCACGTGGAACTTTGCGTGAAAGCCGAGCTTCATGACCGGCAAGAAAGAAGATCCAAAGTGCAGGCACCATACATCCGTCTGGAAGGACTCCTTCACGGTCTGTCCCTCTCTCTCTCTGCAATGTTTTTGGCCTGGACATGTGTTTGTGTGTTTTCCCCTTCAGCAATTCCCCATGGAAGATAAAGAACTGTCATTGTGCTTCGTGCCACTCATGAAATTCACGGTTTGGGTTCTGATGTGTAGTGACAGTGGCACTGAGTGCAGCACTGCCGCACAAATCCGCCCGCACTGAAGGTGCCGAGGCTTTTTTTGTGTGCACGCATGGAAGCAATCGCAATAAGTATTGAGATTAAACTAGGGGGGAACCTTTATTGCTCTTGAATCATGTGGTTTTCCACGTTTTTTTCAAGGGGCCTAAGTCGGCCAAGTTGCCAAACTTAAGCTTAACATGGCCCGACGTACACCCAGCAGGCCCAACATAGGCCCAAACAACCCAACATCACCACAGGCCCAATATAGGCCAACATGGGCGCAACATAGGCCCAACATGGCCCAACATGGGCCCAACACCGCTCAAAATGAGCCCTACAAAGGCCCAACATAGAACATATGTTGGGTTTATTGGAACTTCGGAGCTAACACTCCGGTGCGTGCGGTGGTCGTCGCGAAGCGACCAGAATAAAACTACATAGTTTTGCACATTCAGCATCAACACATCATCTGCTCGCTGCAAAAGTCCTTTCGGATCGAGGCCGGAACCAAGCCTTGCTGAGTTAACCAGAAACACGAAGCAATGGGTTCTGTAGACGGCTCATATTTACTGTGGCCAGTCTTCATGATGAACAATAAGAATAAGGCATGAAAGCATGTGTTTCGTTTCGATTCTGTCGGGAACAATGCACAAAATGCACAAAAAAGTCTTGTTGGAAGCTTGGAAGCATCATGTCGAGCATGTCCTGTGGCTCATCCCGAAATGTGCCCGCTTCCATCTGCTCGCGTCGCTGCTGAATCCGTGCATCCACGGCACCTAAGTCTTGATGCTATGACCGTCTGAAGACTTGCAAAAACCATTGCAAAAGTGCTAGTAAAAGGTCTGCAAAGTCACGTACTGACCCAAATTGAAAGCATTCTATGTACCCATATATCCCAATTAACTCTCATCCTGACTGTCACAATCGCAGCATCAGTAGCATAGCACCACCACTACAAGCAGTCGTACAAATGTGTAGAGTGAGAATGACAATAATCATATCACTAATGTATATACATGTGTACAGAAGTACAATAGTGATGGAACAAGTCATGTTATTGCTACACGAAAACTGCTTATGAAAGCATATAGCACATTACAGCACAATGTGCGTGTTGACACACGATACAGTAACCAAGAGTGTTGGTGTATACGACATTGGAGCGTAGCACCTTCCAACACTTTGTACATGTGGTCGACGGCTTTCCTGAACCGCAGATTTCGCGGGAAAGGGAGTCTCTCCAGGACTGGGAAGGTCAAGTAGAGGGGGTTCAGCATCTCTGCCATCACGACCTGGTAATGCCTGCAGTGCAAAATCAGATGTCGCAAGAGCTGATCAAAATTGATCAAAGCTCTGTGAAAAAATACGCAAACAAAATGCAATGGGAAGGGGGAGGGGATCTCCAACCTTTGGCACACGTTTGAAGCATTTTGAAGCTATCTACCTCACAAATTGTCAAGCCGTGCCAAACCCGCCTATAAGTGTCGTCAAACTTGCCATCAATGGCGCCAAAGCCCTGTCCAAGCATTGCGGAGCCCAACACATCCAAGGCGTACCGCGACATGTCCTCGGGAGGGGCAAGTCGAAATCGTCGAATCCAAAACCATATGGAATAGCTAACGAATCACTCAAGTCATCTCCGGTCACTCGAGTCACTGTCCATGTTCTGGTGACGTCTCACTCGAAACACAAGGATTGCCGTGTCGAATCGTGCGTACTGTCTGAGTTGCTTCTGAATCCTTCCTGATAAAGCACTGTTGGGCAAAGGATCTCTTTTGGCATCAATCTGCTCGCAACCTCTCCAGGTATCCAGCAACCTCGACAGCTTCCAAGTCAGCACCAGCTCTTTTTTCGATCAGGCACCACTTTCTTGGAATTAGGGCAAGACTTGCAGTACAAAGCTGCACTAATGGGATGTGGTCAGGTGCTGCACATGCAGATAAGTGGCTTGTCGGTTGCCTCATTGAATTTGGGCACCAAGTTTCTCAGCGCCTCCGCGCGAAGTCAGTGTTTCAATCAGTCAGTGTTTCAATCTGCACGAAGTCAATGTGCCTTTTACGAGACCAAGGCAAGTTCTGACAAGCTGAACGGCCTGCTTCTCGAAGGTCGGGTCCACTGGCTTGCCTTGATTCTAAGACACTTCCAGGCAAACGCTTTACAGTGCTTGGAATAAAGTGGTGTTCTTTTCAAACATATCATATAAAACAAAAGGATCTCCGCTGTTTTGTTTGCAAGGTTAGAACATACGCTTGGGCAACAAGTGAATGTAGTCTGTCCTGAGCAAGTGTCTTCTCACTCACCAAGCTGCGAAGGGCCTGCCACTGAGCGCCATTCGTCATCACGATGGATGCATTTTGTCCGTCCTTCCAAGGGTCGAAATGAGGATCCCAGGATCCACGATGGATGCTGAAGTTTTGCTGAAGCAAACTTTGTTAAAAAATGACGATCCCCAAAATGCAGCAGAATGAAATGAAAGAAATGTGACAAGATGGTGGCACACATGGTGGCACAGATGGTGGCACAGCAAGGCAGTGCTAGCCGTCATCACCAATCTCTGGGTATCAGCTACAATTCTGTTGCAACAGCTCGGCACCTTCACATCCAACACAAACCTATGCTTCTCAAAGAACTATAAGACATATATAATATGCGATAAGAAAAAACATAAAAGATTGTCTAAAGACTGTTTCGCTCACAGGACAATGGGAGCAATCTATCCTTGGTGTAGTTCAGACATGCTTGGATGCTCTTCGAGGCGATTGCATCATTGTCAGCCTTGGGAAAGTCCTTCACACAAGCTGCCACAAGTGGCGAAGTGCACCGTGCATTGCATGGCATTGCAGTTCATCATGTCAAATTTTGCTGGTGCACTGGACAATCTTCAGGCCTTTGGACGCGTCAAGACTTGTCTGGCAAGTTCTGGGTGTGTGATGGCCAGAGAAGTTCTGGGCCCCATGAACATCTTGAACATGCGTGGATTCCTTGGGAAAAGTGAAAGACTTCATAAGACCCAGACTACTGTACTGGACATGCTTTCTTTTGCTCGTCTTTCCAGACTCAGGCAGAGACTCATGACCGAGTTCTAGCAACGCCTTAGATTCCAAGAGTCCATAATGAAGTTCAAAGCCAACCTGGCTAAACATCTCTAGACATATTGGCCATTGCTGCTCTTGGAAGGCAAATGACTATATACTCTAGATGATCGGCAATCTGGCGTAACAAATGAAGCCTCCAAATTAAAATCAGCCTCCAAATTAAAATCGAATGATTACCAAGAGACTAAAGAGATAGTCCGAATCAAGAAGTATCAAAGGCTTTAGTCTTTAGCTCGTAAATTGGTTTTAGTGTGGATCAAATAAAAGGCTGAAAAGCCAAGATGCTGTCGCCAAGCGATTGCGTGCAGTAATGATAAAGAGTTTGCCTGCAAATGCGGTGTCTTACCAGGAAAGTGTGAAACTCCAAAAACACAGTTCGATTGAGCCAACGCTTACCTTCACAACCATTGACGCTACACCTATGAACACTGATCTTATAGGGGTCCACGAATAGACGGCATCTTGAGTGCGCAAGATAAGATGGCATTTCGAGCGAATGTCCAAAAAAAAAATGATGGCATTTGACTCGGTGGGTTTCCCTGAATGTGCCATCTTAGCGTGCCTGACCCAATAGGAATAGCAGAATTGCCGCAATCAATTCAAGGAAACTCAGTTATGCCATATTAGTGTTGAAAAAACACATTGGGCAGCAGCAGTTTCTTTTTCCCATCTGTCCACCGGTTTTGGGGCAGTAAGATGGCACATCAAATCCAAAAAACAAAAAGTAACGGTTCAAAACCACCTGTTTCACATTGGACAAAGTAATGGGTTAAGCACGTTTTTGGCAGCCTGGTTCTTTAATTTTTGTAACATTTTGACACACCAGTTTTGGGGTGTTAATGGAGAGCACTCAGATGGCACATCCAGGCACATCCTGTCCGAAAAAGATGAAAACTGCTGCAAAACTACCTTTTTCACATAGGAAGCACTATTGCATGGACCACGTGTGGGGCGTCGGATTTTTTGGCACTTTCCATTCCGAAAAAATGGCCAGTAGAACCTCAAAACCACATGTTTCATATAGGCACCAAAAAACGGTGAAATGCCTTTGGGCGGCTTGATTTTTTTTCAACACTTGGGGGGGGGTGCCACTGAATACTAAGATGGCACATCCAGGCACGTCGATTCCGAAAAAATGAGGCGTAGCGCCTCAAAACCACCTTTTTCAGTTAGGACGCAATAAGAGATTGAGCACTTTTATGGGCGGCCTGATTTTCCGATCTTGTTGCCACATTGTGCAAAAACATGCAAAAACTATCAAAAGCCACTTTTGGATACTTTTGGGGGATTGCCGGGGGGTTCCCAGGGAACACTAAGACTAAGATGGCACATCCAGGCACATCCTGTCCGAAAAAGATGAAAACTGCTGCTAAAACTACCTTTTTCACATAGGAGGCACTATTACATGGACCACGTTTGGGTGATTGGTTTTTTTTTCCTCCCTTTCCATTGCGAAAAAGTGAACAGCAGAACCTCAAAACCGACTGTTTCACATAGGAACCAGCAAGGGGTGAAAACTTTTTTGGGTGGCCAGATATTTTTTCAACACCACCTGTGGGGAGCTGCCACAGAACACTAAGACGGCACATCCAGGCACGTCGATTCCGAAAAAATGAAGCGTAGCACCTCAAAACCACCTTTTTCACATAAGACGCAATAAGAGATGGCCTGAGATTTTTATTTTTGCAACGCCAGTTTTTGGGGCGGTCCACCTCCGCATTGACAAAATGGTACCTGGTTTACAAAGGAAACTTCAAGATATTGACCACTTTTTAGGCGGCCCAAATTTGTTCTGATGCCATGTTAGGCGATGCTGTGGACTACTAAATTTCGAAAATGGCACTTTTGGGTCGTTTTAGCGGAAACGTGTTTATTTGGACGGCTTCGTGTTTAACAGCTGGTCTTTTCCAACATGCTGGGGAAATAAAAACTTGCTGGGTCTCATTCTCGACTAAGATGGCACAACATGCCACCCTATGTATGCCACCTAAATGTGACTGATGGTTATACCGACACGAGATACGCGTGTCACAGACCCCTGTGTGCCATCTTAGATATCTTAGTGTTGCAAAAACGTTTCGTTTTGAGGGCGGTTTTTTTTGGGGTATCGATGGCACTTGAATCAACTTTTACTCGAGCCATCAATCTGTGGACCCAGCCCCGATGGAAATCAGTGTATATTGGAATCCTTTGCCAAACAGCGAGGAAGAATAGAAACAACAGAAGAATAGAAAGACAGCACTACGGCAACCGAAGCACACAAAAAGGCAATCTACATAGAATGATCGCAAGTCACCAAATAGTTGTCATTGAGCTTGACCGAAAGAGAGAAAAATGGTACGAGTATGTGTCGAACATGTTACAACTATGACCAGCTACAAAGATCTGTCTGTTGGGGACTCATCAAAGTGGCCAATACCTGGTCAAAGTCAGAGGTCGTGCTGTGCTACTGTTCAGACTGGTCCACTTTTTGCCTCACAGCGTTGTGAGTGGTATGGGTCTAGTGCCTGCTGTGAGTGATGCTACAGTGTAGACACTCCCAGCTGACACGGGAACCTGTTCGGGCAGCTGAATTTAAAAGTTCAGCACTGTGCCACTCCCGAGTTTCCGAATCCTGTCTCTAACCTCATGACATTGAAAGTATTTCCTGCTAAAACTTCAATATGGCGGAAGCCACTGAGAGCACAAGAGGCTTGAGGATTGAAATTCCTAAAGCCAAAGCCCAAAGTACTGTGGTTCAAGCTAAGCGGGCCCGCAACACATGCCAAAGATATTGGCCTTGGCATTGGAGCGAAATATGACAAGGGGATATATACAAGGGTCAATGGAGCAAGCTCTGAAAGTCATGCCTTTTGTAGGATGTTCGAGCTGCAACTGTACAATGGCTCACTCCCAAATGAAGCAACCTGCGTTGTGCAGCTTGACTGGCTAATTTGCTTTGTGTCCGTGCATGTATCATTGTAGAAGGATAATCGTGATGTTTATCAAATGTACACACATACAGACTTTACGTTACATGACTCTGCTTTACCGGTCGTTTTACTTTTAGGTGTGCATTGACCTCAACACTAATATTTCCAGTTCTACCAAAATCAACGCTTCATTGCATGACATTACATAAAGGACATACGTACATGTGTGCCTGTATATGATGCGCATCCGATGCATCTGTGTTAATATACGTGCATGTGTGCACACGCATAATACATAATACGTAATACGTAATACGTAATACATAGTACATAATACATAATACATAATACATATATATAATTATACATTGTGCATATAGATAATTATATATATATATATATAATTATACATATATATATATAATTATACATATATATAATTATACATATATATAATTATACATATATATGATATACTAGTATGCTATATAATTACATAGTATATAATATAAAACAAACAATATAATATACATATATATATATATATATAATTATATATATACACATTATACCTGTATATATAATGTGGTAATGATACAGGTACACATACACTATGTATCTGCATACGTCTAGATCTATCGATCCAACTTGGATGTGGGTCAAAATGGAAGACCGTTAAGGGGACCACAGATGTGAATGTCTAGTTTAGTATTAACCATCCAATTATTGGGGTACCTAATTTTGACCCATTCAGCGTGTGAGGGGTATGGAACTTCACAAGCAAGAGAGCTTTGTAGCTGCCCAGTACATGTGGTATCTTAATGCCTAATAAATTCACTTCTACAGTAGCTGTCTTGGGACATGATACTGAACCCCTGGAACCTTCTCTAACACTTGGAATTCGTAAGATGCAGTAATGAAATGCACAAGACCTGGCGCATATGGCATGAAACATACAGGTTGTGTCAGGATCCAGAAGCCCTGCCTACGCTCCTGCAAGCTTTTCCATTGAGCTATCCCTCGGCACAGCATCACTCAACATTCCTGCACAGGAGATGCCAAAATGCAAACAAATGCAGAGGATTGCAAAGGAATGTAAAGATTTAAAGGCAAATAACTGATCATCCAATATCGTCCAAAGCATAAAACAGTAGATGACGAAAGAAACTCTCCCGCACAAAGGCTAACATGACTCTGGCAGACCACATTGCCGTATTGCATCGTATTGCTTACACAAAACGGGTCTGTGTAGCGCGGCACTGTTTCTGACCATCGTCGGCCCGTGTCGGCCTGTCCTTTCGTGGAATCGGCGAGTTTTCTGGCCAACCAAGCACTGAACTGCTGGACCTTTTTTGACTTGACCTGATCAACAAAGGGGAGGGATGCTCCTCAAGCCTTGCACAGCTCTAGTTAGGGGCAAAACAGCTGAAACTGTCTGATCTGAGTAGAGAGTCCGAAAGCACTTACTGATTGCTGTTGACGTTACTCCCGTTACTCCAGCGTCAAGCCGCCAAGTTGTGATAACCTCTGCATGCTTACCAACTTTGTCGCAGCTCCACTTCATGATACGCATACGGTTACTGTCATAGACGGATATAGACGGATGATTGCTGCGCTTTCTTGAAGACTGGACCAGACTGGACTCCTGCAAAAAAACGCTGGTCTCAATGCTAGAACTGCGTGTCCATTCAGCTGTCTGAGCTAGGAACAAAGAACTCGTTGGTAAAGTGACCAGCAACCATGACCAGCAGCAAGTAGAAGGGAAAGAACTTCTTGGGCAAAATCCCTCCCCAGAGCTTCTCAGCTATTTTCCTTGGTCGCAGAAGCTAAGAAATGATCCTTATCACTAGGCTTTCTTTGATCGCTGTGAAACCAGACAGTGTTGCGAAAAGGCGATCTAGCCACATACTTGAAATCTGAAAGTGGCATGTGCTTTGCCGCTCAGTTTAGCTTCGATTTCTTTGTTCAATTTCCATTTGTCAAGTTTTGATGAAAACAAAATTGATTGCTGAAAGTGTTTGGAACAAAAATCAACTCTAATGATCATGAATTCTTATGAAAAAACATATATATATATATAGGTTCATTCTTTTTGGCCCCCATCTCCGATTGAAGTCCTGTTAAAAGATGGACAATCACTTGATGAGATACGTGTTATCAGTTTCACGGAGAGATTGGTAGTTCCAATGCTTGGTTGGTCACTAGTAGACAATCCTCGATGGATACCTTATGTATTTATTATATATATACACATATATTGTGTATATACACCTATGGCAAATACACACATAAACCTAATATGAGATACACATATGCGCATATATGATCTGTATACGAGTGAATATATAAATAAACCCCGTGGCAGTTTACCGGGTCCGGTTGGGGCCTGTGATTTTCTACTAGAAAATGAATGTTGTTTAAATTAGGGACCCAAGAAAATCTAGCTACAGACATCAAACCAATTCGAGCTACCCTAGAAAAATGGCACCCTCCAAGAAGTGCATTTTCGAAGCTATGGACCGATTTTCTTCTTAGAAAAACATCACCCTGCTTGAATGGTGTAATGTTGAAATTTCGAAATCAAAATTTTTGAAAACGAGCCCAACATCCAACCCATCGAATTCTTCGAATTATTCGAATTTCATCGAAATTCCATCCCATTAACATCCCACAAAAATACCATCGAAATTACCCCAAAGATGCCCAAAGTGCGATTCTGCTGCCAAAATCGCCTCTGCGACCAAAGCGCCAGCGCCACATCTCTCATGAAATAAGTCGAAAAAATTAAACCAGTGTGAAGTTTCGATTTTTTCGACCCAGCTTTTCGAAAACGCATATCTTCCCTAAATCTTCCCTAAATAGTCGCCCAGGACAACCCACAAAAAAAACAGTTCAACCGTGGCTGTTGATCGACCCTTCAAAACATGAATTTCCAAAAAAATGCTCAACATGCTATGGTAACTATATTTATATATACGGATTTTTAAATATACGAACAAGATCGAACAAGTATTTTAGACTATATCCGGGAATGTTCTTTGGCCCGCCCGGCCATTTAAACAGACGAAATCCAATTCATTCAAACGCACGGTATCTAGATTTAAAATTTAAAATCATTTAAATATACGAGCTGGTATTTCATACTACCTCCGGGGCTTCGCAGCCTGACCCGCCCCCACATTTAAATGTCGTTACCGTACAGCATGCTGCAACTCTGTACAAAAACGTACCGCCTCAGTTTCTTTCACTTCTTTCATTTCTTTCACTTCAGCAGTTTTTCGGTCATAGAAGTTTCAAACAATGATTCAGAAAGAATGTGAGTTTCTAGAAGTAACGCGCGCTGTTTCAAATCCAGCGCTTGATTTTCTAGAGGCCACAATTTTCCATACATGTGCCTCCCACATTTTTTAGGCGCTTGTATCCAGGTCCATATTCGAAAACCATCGAAAACCTATATTCGAAATTGTTATTTTCACATATTGTCACAATGCGTCACATATTTTCACATTATACATATGTTCTCTATATGTTCATTATTATATAACCCCATCCCAATTTATCTTAATGCGTTTTCATTTTCTCAGATTTACCAGACTCGCAATTCTGGTTTAGGCGTTTTGAACTTGATTATAGGATATTTCAATATGTTTGGCGTACCCTTATAAAATAGCAGTTTTCTGTCATAGAAGTTTCAAATAATGATTCAGAAAGAATATGACTTTCTAGAAGTGACGCGCGCTGTTTTAAATCCGGTGCTTAATTTTCTAAAGGCCACAATTTTCCATACATCTGCCTTCCAAATTTGTAGGCGCCTGCATCCAGGTCCATATTCGAAAATCCATTTTCGAAATGACTATTTTCACAAATTTTCTGTATATTAATCATATTTCATTTGTAATCCCAATTTATTTTCATGTGTTTTCAATTTCTCTGATCTACCAGACTCGCAGCGACGCGCAGGTACTCAAAGTTCCAGCCCAAGCGCTTCGGATTGGCTGTTTTCCAATTGCGAGATGCGGCAAGTGTTGCAAACTTGGACAGGAGAGAGATGGGACTAGATTTTAAGCATGTTTAAACAAAACAAAATGACCTACCAGTGCCCCTCTAGAAAATCAGGGACCACTAGAAAATCTAGGAACGTCCTCCCAGAGATGCTAAAATTATGCTCCTGGATTTTGGGCACTTAAGCTACCCAGAAAATCAGGGTCTCCCGACTCAGAGGTCTCCAAAAGTTGTTCTGTAGAAAATGAGGGGGTTGATAAAAGCAGCCTTTCATCAAAATCGAAGAATTTGCGCGCCAGAAAATCAGTCCTTCTTAGGGGGGTTGACCTCCCTGAAATCCTAGAGGAAACTCCAACCCCGTTTATAAATATATATATATATGCCCCAAAATGGATCTAAAGAATAAGCGAATAAACTTTCATCTAAACCTCGTGCCAGAATGTGCCAGAATGTGCCAGACCAGTGTCTTTTTGTAGAAGATCTGTCCAATGGGTCCGTGCAAGATGAACATCGGAAAGGCTAAAGCACCCAGTGAGGTCATGAGCTTTGACCCGAAGAAGCGAGTGATGAGATGCGGCTTCTCCGTCAGGCAGTCCCTGGTACAACTTGTGACAAGTTGCTTTGGAAAGTCAGCTCAAATCAAGGTTCACAAGTTCAGAAGTTCAAATTAAATCAAGTTAAATCTGGATCCTGAGCCCAAAGCTGCAGACATTTGAAACTCCTTCGCTCATGTTACTTCACACCATGGTGTTGCCCTACAACTTGAAGCCAAAAAGAAGGCCTACAGAGACGATTAACGAAATAAATCCATAGAGTGCACCTGTGAATTTCCATGAGGAACTTTGTGTACAGGGGCATGAAGAGAAGCGTACGGATCATGGCATCATTCAAGTTCAAGGTCGTCAGGCGTAGGCCCAAAGATGCGTAGCTGGCCAGGAAGAGCCACAATGGATTAATTGATGGCTTCTGGTTCTCATCATCAAGCATAACACTTCTTGCTGCTGCTGCGCCAATCACAATCTCCACAAGCGCTCCAAACGGATGGAAACGTGTCACATTCCAAAGGTATGGGTGTGCTGTCTTCTCAGCGAATCCTCCACAACAGTAGAATTTCCAGGCTTGTGAGTAGGACAGCTTCTGAAGCAGCGAGACTGTGGATAAAGCCACCAACAGTTTCTGAAGACCATCCTTTGACAGTCTCGCAATCTGTGGAAGAATGGCTGGCAAGGTGAAATTCGCGAAGGAAAGTGCTGAGAGAAACCACGTGGGCGGATTCCAGATCTCTGCCTCAGATGGGAACCAAGCCTGAAGGAGGCTGTAGTTCAGGAAGGCATGCAT